AAGACAAAAAAAAAAAAAAGAGTGGGACCTTATAACGGGGTGAGTCCTCTCATGTAAAGAGACCCCAGAAAAACCTCTCTGGCCACCGTGAGAAGACAGTGAGAAAAGCTCCTAGCAAAGTCCCACTGTGCTGGCACCATGATTTTGAGAGAGGTAAATGACAGTTTAAGCAGCCCAGTTGGTGCTTTGCTGGCAGCTTGAGCTATAACTGTTTTGGACTGTTGCCTGACCTAGTGGGGTAGGGCTTCTCTGGCTGGTGAGGGCAGCACCTCATCTTACTCTCTGGGCCTCTCCCTCCTTCGGTCCCCACTGGGGAGCAATGGACAGCCCCTATGGCTTGCTCTGAAATGTCCCTTCTCACATGGCAAGGTCCTCGAGACCCTCCTCTCCATGCTTGACCTCTGTGTGACATCTTAGAATGGCAGTGGTTGTCAGGGACTATCCACAGACTAGATAACCCTGGCCCATTCTGGCCCACGAAGGCCGACTTGGGTCTAGGTGGCCTCAGCACTGATCCTCCAGCTCTTGAAGATGTGGCTGAAATTTTCTGAGGCCCTATGGGTCACAGCAAGTACCCTGAGGCTAGAGCACTGAGTTCCGCCTGGTCCCAAGGCCTACGTGTCCTATCCAAGCTAGTAAGAGCTAGGCAGGGGTGGAATTTCCCCCATGAATGGCTAGATGTATTTCTCAGAGAAGGCGAGAAGAAAGGGAAGAGGACAGGCTTCTATAACGGGACTGGGAGGTAACGCAAGGTAGTCTCCAGGGGCTGAGAAATGTGATGAGGTCTGTGGTCCAGGTTCTACACCAGCATAGTTGATGCTCCTGGATGAAAGAATGTGGCCTAGGCTTTGAAGGCCCAGTCATGGCCACACCACAGGGAACCAGGGCTCAAGGGGCAGAGGTGGAGGTGGGAGTGATACACAGGGAGGGGCAAAAGCAGTGAGACTGGGCATGGAGCAAGTAAAATCTGAGCGACCAGGGTGGGGAACGGTTTCAAAACCTACTTCCTCCCTCCTGCCCTTGGTGGAGGTGCTTAACAAACAAGACATCCTGAGCTGGGCGTGGTGGCACACGCCTGTAATCCCAGCACTCAGGAGGCTGAGGCAGGAGGATCACTTCGAGTTCCAAACCAGCCCAGGCTACAAAGTGAGCTCAAGACCAGCCTGAACTGCATAGTGACACCTGTACCAAAAAACCAAAACAGCCGGGATACGGCTGCGTAAGTTCCTGCCTGGCAAGCACAAGGTCCTGAGTTTGATTCCCAGTACAAAAAAAAAAAAAACGGAAACTTTTGGGCCAGGAAGACAGCTCAGCAGCACAGCACCTGCCTAGCAAGCACAAGGTCCTGAGTTCGATTCCTGGCACCAAAAAGGAAAGTTAATAAAACAAAACAAGACACCCTGGAACTAGAAAGAAGTGGCCTGTGGGCTCCACGGGTGACTGTCCTCCCCATTTTCCCTTGGCAGTCAGCCAAAATGATAGATACCTCCTTCTCAGACTATCAGCGGGAAACAGCGTTGCTCCCACAGAGTGGAGGACCAGGCTTATGGGCAGCATCCAGGGATCCCCTAGATTGTTCCACATGGTTGCAAGGACCCTGGGACACCAAGTGAAAGATGCCAGCAAGACCAGTGAAGGGCTCAGGGTGCTAGGAACGAAGGCTGGCCAACCAAGCAGGTGCTGGTGGAAGACAGAATTGGAGACCAGCAGATAGTTCATCTTGTGGCTTGTTGCAGAAACAAGGACAATGGCCCTCTGTTCCATTTCCTGCTGTGTCATACTGAATTTCACCCAATTTCTGTTTCCTTCCACCAACTTAAGGCAGCAGTTCTCAAATCTGGGTCACGGGGACCCCTTTACACTCTTAGAATCAAGGACCCCAAAGAACTTCTGAGTTACAGGTGTTTCTCATGGTGGAAATTAAAGCCGGTAACTTTTAAAAGTATTTAATTACTTTAAAAAAATAAAATCATTAGATATTAACTTTTAAAAAATGAGAACCGCTGGCTGTGGTGGTACACACCTCTAGTTCCAGTTACTTAGGAGGAGGACTGAAAGTTCAAGATCATCCAAGGCAACTAATAAGACCCTGTCATTGAATGAATGAACAAACAAATACATGAATAAATGAATAGTTCAGAATGAAGGTCCTGGATGCAACCCCCAGCAATGAAGAGAGAAGGAGACAGAGAGGGAAGAGGCGGGGAGAGACAGAGAAAAGGTCAGTGTGGGCTGGGTGGCAAGCATCAGGTCCTGAGTTTGATTCCAAAAAAGGTCAATGTACTTCCAAAGCCAACATGGTGCTGACTTTGCATTTTGACTTCTGCCTGACATCTTAGAATGGCGGTGGTGTTGATTGGTGTTGATTTTGCATTTTGCAAAGCTTTAGGGTTTAGCCTCACAGGAGGTAACTGTGTTCTCGTGTCTGCTTCTGCATTTACTCTCTTGCAGTCTGGCTTCTTGAAGAACACAGCCTCCCCCAGGCGTTATCTAAGCAAGCAAGGAAGAGCCAGACCGACCCCAGGATCTCAGGCTACACTTCGGAGATCCTGTTGTAGCCGCTGCCTTTAATCCACACAGATTGTGACAAAGGTAGAGGAGGAGACACCCCAAATATAACAGACGAGGAGCACGAGGAAGAGCTGATAAAGCAGATAGGTTGCCTCTCTTGCCCTTAGGGAAGGGACAAAACTGTTTCGCTGAAACACTGTATTAGAAGGAAGCCTCATTTTTGAAGTGTAAGCTTGGGTAGAAGGGTACTTGGCATACAGCAGACGAGCAGGCGGCAGGGGACTTCCACCACTGTCTCTAATTACCCAGCCTCTGAACGTCTTCCTTCTCAGGCAAATCCTCTACAGAAGAGCTGCGGCAGACCGCTGCTTCCACTGAGGTAACGGAGCCAGATGGCCTCTTCTCTGGTTCTGGAGGCTGCAGAATGCAAACACCCAAGGCTCGGCTGGTTGATCACCTCCTCCTCCTGGCACTTCAGTCCTGAGCTAACAGCAGACGGCTGAGGAGTTACTTGTGGCAGCAGGAGCAAGACTGGTGGTCCCTTTCTGTGGCAGTGTCATAGGATGAACAGCAGTGGCACCAGGTGCAGTCCTCACCAAATGTTCCTTCCAGCAGCACAATTCCCCAGGGTCACCGTGTGCCTGCTGAGCCTGCCCCGGCCTCCCCACTCACCTGTCAGCTCCCTGTGGCCCCACAGCTTCCTTTCCTCATACAGCCTGCACAACGCTGGCCCTCTCAGGCCCGTCTCCACTCTGTTGCTCCCTCTGTTCCTACCTGGCTGGTCTCTCTGCACTCAGCCTTGACCTCCCACGGGTCACATGTGTGAGCAAAGCCTAGGGCTACAGTGCGTTCCTGACACTGTCGTGCAGGGAGCTGCTGGGGCTGCGCCATTGTTTACTGAGGGCTCTAAACTCAGGGATTTCCCATCTTGCTTCAGATCCCAACAGATGCCTTCTGGTGGCAACAACTTACAAAAACTAGATTGTAGAAGGGGAAGAAAATCAGCTATGGTCTGCCACAAACTTTGAGCTTCCTTTACAATGACCTTTTAACATTTTAAATTAATGACGGGCTGGGAATACAGCTCAGCGGCACAAGCGCCTGCCTGGCAAGGGCAACGTCCTGAGTTCCATTCCCAGTACCAAAAAAAAAAAAAAAAGAATTTCTACATTTTAAATTCATGGGCCATCAGCCGCCTGTGCAGATCGTGTTGTTTCTAGGGCAGGTACTACCTCACCTACAGGCCACGGGCTCAGCCTGGAATGTGAGCAGACTCGACATTTGCCACATGTGGGGACTCTGTGCTTGCAGGCTTTGGCTTGGCCTCCTCATTTCTGCCATTACAGAGAGAAATCCGGCCCAGGGAATGGGGCTCCTTCAGCCAGGTACCCAGAATACAGCTATGCTGTGGAGCCTACCTGAATCAGACCCCAGCCTGGTGTGGCACTCCCACAGTCAACCTGTGGACCATGATTCATACTTGTAGGCCAATGAGGTTTTTGAAGTTGTTTAGCAGCAAAAGCTGATCGTTACATCATTCTGCAGGAAAAACCAGTGACAGAACTGAAGAATATTAAAAACTGTGGAGTCACTGTTGAGTAGCAATTACTAAACTCTCAGGTATAGCTGGGGTTGTATCAACTTCACAGATCAAACAGCTGTTTCACAACTGTCACTCATACTGTTTTTATCTAACAGGCCTCCTAGGGGTAGCCCATGTAGGTAGGAACACTTTTGACCTCCACTGACACAACCAGGACAGGAGGGAAGACGGAGGGACTCGTGGGGAATACCAACATGCCCCTACCCTGACACTGCAGCCACAAGGGGCTGCTGATGCCTGTTACCCCAAATCCACTCTGCATTTCCTCCGCCAACATGTTTCTCCACATCTACATCTTTCTGATGCTTTCAGATACTCTGGGAGCAGAGAAGGTAGGGCGTTGGACTAAAAATAAAGTTGGGCCTGAAGGTCTGGGTGAAGGTCACCCTGAGGCCAGCTGCACCTTCCACCCATTTTCTGTGAACATCTCTCAGCTTGTTCTTCCCACTGGGCACCCCATGGGCAGGTCTGAACCACTCTCCACTGTACCCACACTGTCTAGCAGCGGCCCTGGCTCATAGCAGGTCCTTAATAAATGTACTGAGAAAGTCAATGAATGAGTCAATCCTGTTCATGAAATGGTACATCCACGGCTGCTCTGGCTGCTCCCCACATTCCGCCAGCTGTGCAAACCCACAGTGTGTATGTATGGGGGGCGGGGAGGGACACTCAGCTTAGCCCCAGCCAACTAGTGTAAGGGGTGGCATCCTCAGGCATGCGGGTACTCTGGTCCCTTTTATTGCTAGCACTGTTACCAGCATGTATATGAAGTATGTTACTTTCAGTGTTTTTTAAATGAGGCAAAAACAGTGAATTTGGGTTTATCAGATGGAACAGGTCTCGTGGCCAGGGCAAAGGGTACAGTCATGTACTTACTGCACCAAACTCACTTGAGGTAACTTTTAATAAGTTGTCAATACCAGTGGGTTCCCAACAGCCTTCCCCAGAAATATCAGTACTGCTTTCCACCTAAACCTCCTTCTGAAAGTATTTATTTGTTCTAGCCACAACATTACTCTCATAGAACCTGGCTTCTGCCCTTCTGGTTCCCTGCATCCCACCAGCACTTAAAGATACATCGTACTTACCCTAAAAAGGTAACCCAAACTACTGCTTCCCTGTTGCTGACAACCACAAAAGTTTGGACCTTAAAATAAGACATCTTGTTTGGCTACTTTTGGTTAAGGTCACTCCATCCTGCTTTCCAGTGATAAGTAATGCTTTACTTTATGACAACCAAATATTCCAAGATCCTTAGATATGACAAACCACTCTTTGCTTACTTTAGTTGTTCCTCAAGAGATGTTATCACCTCTGGAGAAAAATGGTAAATAAGTCACGTTAGGACCTGGTTCCACACTGGAGGGTGTCACCTGCTCCCAAAGGGTGGTGGCTCCGAACAGTTACTGAGACAGACTGCAGAACTGTGCAGACCGGTCACCGAATACCTGAATATTCAGACCCATGGGATTTCCAATCCCTGCTTTGTGCCTGGTACTTAGATTTGACCCCATAAGAGGTATATATGAACATTTTATGCACTCTGAGGACACCTGCAATAAACATGTATCTTCACGTAGAAACGTAAAAAAATACTTTAACATAATACTTTGTACTGCAGAGAACTGGAATTCAACACATTACACTGCTAAAATATTCATATATGCACAGATTCACGCCATTAGAAAAGTTCATCTATTTGAATATTAAAGACAATTCACGACCAAAGCAATGTCCAAAGAAGAACTATTTTAACAGTAGGAACACTAGAAATAACTGCAAGGCTTATAAACCAGCGGCGGGAAAGAGAATTCTGTACATTTGTTATTCTGCCACAACAGGTACAATCTCACATACAATTTTAGACTAGCCGTATATAAAAATATTTTTTAAACAATACTTTTAATAGGTGTAGTAGACCTTTAAAAAAAACAAAACAAACTGTGTAGTTACTCCTTTTGAGGACCTACTAAAACAATTCCACCTACTGCCCCTGGCTAGCTCTTAAAGACCTATTTGGAAAGCAAACAGGAGTTCTCTCACACATACATACAACATACACACAAAACCAAAGACAAAACTAACCCCTGCTATCTACAGGAGACAATGATGAGTCACTAATCCGCATCGATCTCAAGTCGTGAAATGGTGTTTGGAGCCTGCTTGTGGTTTCGGGTTTGGGATGAATAAAGTGGCAAAAGCAAGGTGGAGTTGGTTGTTTCCAGCTCACCAAAGGGCCAGTGAGGAAGGCAGTTTTAGTCCGGCATATCAATATTTAACTTGGGAGGCGGGGGAACATATTTCCCAGGGCTCTGCGTTATAACTACCCTGGCTTTCTTTCCAAACATTGGAGGAATTTTTGGAGCTTCTGAACCGGATGTTTCCTCAGCATCTTCACTGTCTTCATGATGGAGATCATAGGAAATGTTCCCATATTCTCTTAAAAATGGGAAAATTTCAAGCAGAAACTGACAGAAATCTCTGCGAATGCCAAACCACCAATGATTGCCTCCTTTCCGTCTAAATGTTGTGGCCATCAAAGTTACTAAAGACAGCCAGAGGGGAACAAATATGGAGATGTAAGAGAATGTATTGTGGCTATCCAACCTGTGAACCAGCAGGACCTCAAAAGTGAGCAGGGGCACAACAATCGTTATCCAGCTGATAGCCATGGTCACGTGTGTCCTTCGCTGTTCTGCAACCACATCCAGGGACCTCAGAAACAGGAGGGACCAGACGATGTAATAGAGGACAACCAGGCAAAGGAAGGACATGAGGATCCACAGGGGCACGAACACCACCAGCCACGGCCAGTGGATAATCCTGTCCAGCCTCAGGGCGATGAAGATGAACTGCAGGATGTTGACGGAGCACAAGATCTCTAGCTCCAGCGACCTGTCGTGTCGAAAGCCCCAGACACAAGCAGCTACGGACACCGGGGAAACGAAGAAGAGCGGCATGAAGACCAGCAGCCAGAAGTGGGTGCCCCTCTCCACCCGGTCACAGACCAGGACTTCGAACATGAGTAGCAGCAGGTGGATGCCCACGGCGATCAGCATGGCTTTGAACTCCACGCCGGCCTCCCCCTCGGTGCGGTAGCGAGGGTTGCGAGCCCAAACGCCCGCACCCACCGAGGCACCCGCGATGACCAGGAGCTTCCACAGCCATATGGGGGCAAAGACGGCCCAGTAGCTCCACTGGATGACGCCGTCCAGGCGGAGGGGCAGCAATACCGAGAAGAGCAGAAGGCAGGCGTAGATGAGGAACTTACTCGGGTTGAAGTCCTGGAACAGTCCCCTGGGGTTCATGGCGTAGGCTGCCGCCCGCCCACCCGAGCCCGCCGCTCACGCCGCTCTGCGCCCACGTCGCCGCCGTCTCGGGGAAGCCCGCGAG